GCCGCAGGAGTACGAGCTGTGTAGGCCCCGACGCGGCGCTCCTCCGAGGAATATTCGGAAAATATATATATATTTTCAGTTCTGGGCAGTTTCTCACGTAGTTCTAACAATTGAGATAAAAATGCTGAGGGGCCAGAAACTTCAAAGTAATAACTCAGGTTAAAGCAGGAAACAGGGGCGGCGGCGGCGGTGGGGGGGCATTTATTTATTTGTTATATTTATTTTGGTCACTTTTCTGGTCACTTTAGTTTATTCTTTGTCAGTATTTAATAACATAACCCAGGTCTCTTAAGTTATTTTTCTTTAAAACAATTCTGTTATGGTTAAAAAAGTTGGTTAAATAAAGATTTAATTTGAACTCTGTGTTTGTGTTTTTTATTAAAATTAAATCATTTAGCAATATCATAAAAAGTCCAGGCAGAGCTGCAATTAAAATATGGTTTCAAATCTTTTCAATAATTATCGATATCGATCAATATGCATTTTTTTTTTATCGATAAGCTTTTTTTCTATATCGCCCAGCCCTAATACTTATTGGGAGTATATGTACGTACATTTTTTTTTACATTTTGCGATCTGCAATTCATTTCAAATGTGCAATAAATTTTTTTTCTTGTTTGTTTTCCGACGGCTCGTTTTATGAACAGTAGGCTGACAGTAAAGGGGGTCTGAGAGAGCCGGAGAGACGTACGGGACAGGACCACATGTCGGATTTGAACCCGGGCCACCCGCGTGAAGGACGGAGGCCTCCATACATGGGTTGTGCGTGCTAACCACTGCGCCACCAAAGCACCCCTTAAGATTATTTTTTTTTTTTTAGATTCCAAATATTTCTTTGTTTAGAAATGTTAATTCCCAAAAGCATTTTTTTTTTATATTCATCAATTCCTCAAATGATCCGTAGGTTCAGCCCTAAAGACAACTATGCACCCTTAATATTGACTTCAAATCACATGTTCTCTATGTACTTTCACTGAAACTCTATAACTACAGCTGGAAAAAATATATAGATATAATATATACAATCGATATAATCATCCTCCTTTAAAACAGCCAACCTTCAAGAGGACAGCGCTAGACCAAAGTCTTTCCAAGTTCACCAAATATTCCCCCTTTCAGTGATGCGTATGCCAGGAATTACATGTAAATAAAGGTCAGGCTGCAGTAGCCAGAGGGTTCAGGTTATCACTCTCTTTTTCTTTTTAACTTCCTGAAACCGGAAACCTGGCTGGATACCAACGGGGTGGGATAGTTTAAAAGTAATCAACTCACAGGTCAAAAGCGAAACAGACGACAGCAGAGCTGCATCTGTTGTTATTCAGCGGTGACGTGGGAACATGTGCAATAGAATTAAAGGAGCTTCTGAATGTGACAGAGTGTTTGCTTGAGCAATCACTCTGTGCCGGGACTTTAAGAATCTTCAAACAGTGATAGGTGGAGTATGTAAAGAGACTTAACGCCTGAAGGAACACAGTTTAAACTGCATCATATGCTGCAAACCTGGCAAAAAAAGCATAGAAAAGATTTTCACCAGATATCAGAAGTAGCTTTGCATGTAGATTATAATTGTGTTTTTTTTTTTCTTTAGATCTTAATCCTTTCTTGTTAAGAAAACTGATTTTACAGTGAATTTCAATCAAGTTTTAGACACAGAAACTGTCATTAAATACAAAATTTCTTAATAATAACATTCTGACTGGGAAAAAAATAACATTTTCTAATAGATTTCCGTGTTTACAAGGATTTTTTTTTTTTTTTTAAATCATTCCAATTAGCGGACTTTGCCATCCCAGATGTGCAGCTGCTTGTTTTGGGGCTTACAGCTTATTTCCAGCTCCTCTGTTAGAACCTCTGGGTTATGTAACTGGGACCTCGCAGAATTGGATGTTATATAATGAGCTTTACTGATGTAGAGGATGGCAGAGCAGGATTCCCAATGCTTAGTTTTCCCTCTGATCTAGATTTTAAATGTCCTGAAGCTACAATTCGGTCTAAGAAGAATCAAATAGCTTAAGAAAAATAAATAAAATAAAATCATTTAACATCCATTTAAATAGGGGGCTCTTGTTATTTTATACGGTATTTTCATCTACTGAATTTGATAAACGTTTCTTTGTCAACTTCCTAATTTATTCCATCCATCCATCCATCCATCCATTAGCTTAACCAATAAATGAGCTGCTAGGTAGTTCACCTGTAGGGTTATTGAATAAAAAATGGCTAATAAAAAAAGCCAAACACATGATTTCTGACATATAGAGATGAAAAACTATCATTAACAACCAGTGCACGATGCCGTCACACGCTGTCAGTTTATTTACCACTTAATTTCAGTGAATTAGATGCCAACTGTGATATAGATTTGCATTTTTAGCGTAATCCAGCCTTCAGTGCTGCTAGAGACACGTGCTGCTAGTGGCATCTTTACACAGGGGCGTACATACGCACTACTTCAGTGCTAACTTAAGAAGTTTATTGAACGTTTATATTTCCAAACAGATTCAGAAAAAGGTCATTCTGCATCCTTGTCGCCATTAGACATCATTTATATCAAAATATGTATTAATTTATCATATATTATTTGACACTCTTATGTATACATAACTTAGATGTATTTATATATTTATAAATGTCAGGTTTGGACAGTTTTAATTGATAATATATCAGGGATCTGTTTCATCTGTTGTGCCATAGTCAATTAAATTCTTATCTTATTTGATTTTTCTGTCTGTTTTATGCATCAGTTGAATCGATTTTGAAAGAAAATGCATACAAATCAATAAATCTATAATCCACCACTAAAAAGAGGTATTCTGTAAGTATATAAAAATTCAGATAAGCTAATGTTTACGTAATACATAACAATGTGTTGCCTTAAACAGCAACATAACTGATCTAAAGTTGACTTTATGTTCAGGTCAACCAATCAGAATCAAAGGGTTTGTTCAAAGAGCAAATAGTGTCAGTTTTAATTATTTCACGATTCAAGGCCATAGGAAAGAAAGTCAAAGAAATCTATTAGCTTAACTTTCTGTTTTTTTTAGTCGTCTGATTTAATATCCATTTCATGTTTTATCATAAAAAAAATTATTTACATTTATAAATTAGTAGATGTTTTCCTTTTCATTTCTTTTAATGAAAAACTAATCCTAATCACTATAATTTCTTAATTTATGAAATTGCAATTTTTACACTAAATGTAGATTTAAACGTAGCCTACACATAAAATACCTTAACAGTATAATTTGCAAATCATAATGAAATCTGATTCTTCTTCTTTGAATGCATTTTTGGCATGTTTAAAATATTACTAAAAGATCGCAATTTTAAGAATTTGTTTTTTCTAATCATTGCTGGATTTTGGCACTTTTGGCATGCTGTACTCACAAAAAATAAAAAATAAAATTCTCAATAGTTTATGAATCAAACTATGATTGATAATTTTCATGCTTTACTATTTAAGTGTGCGTTTAAATGTATTCTTGGTACATTTTAATCTATAAAGATATAATATTAATGTGTTGCACTTTAAAAAACTACATGAATTTTAAAATTCTATCACCAATGTAATTATTCATTTAAAAAAATATATGTTTTTAGGATCATGCAGCACTTTTAACTTGTAAACATTTGGGAAATCTATTAGCTTAACTTTATTTTTTTTTGTTTTGTTTGTTTTTTTGTTTGTTTTTAGTCAACTGATTTAATATCCACTTCATATTTTATCATTAAAAAATACATTTTGATTAATAAATAAGTAGATGTTTTGATTTTCCTTTTGTTTAAAGAAAAACGAATTATTCATTATCCATTTTCATTAACCATTTCTTAATTTATGAAATAGCAATTTTTACAGTAAATCAAGATTTAAAAGTAGCATACACATAAAATTCCGTAATGGTAGAATTTGCAAATCATAATGAAATCTTCTTCTTTGAATACATTGGTGGCATGTTTAAACTATTACTAACAGATCATATTTTTTTTACGGATTTGTTTTTTTTTTAATCATTGCTGGACTTTGGCACTTTTGACACCCCGTATTCACAAAAAGAATTCTCAAATGTTTATGAATCAAATGTTTATGAATCAAACTATGATTGATCATTTTCATGTTTTACTATTTATGTATTCTTGGTACATATTCATATATAAAGATAAAATATTTTTAATGTATTGGACTTTATGAATTTATGAACTATATGAATTTTAAAACTGTATCACGAATGTAATCATTCATTAAAAAAAGATGTTTTTTTAGGATAATGTGGCACTTTGATCATGTTAACATTTGGGAAATCTATTAGCTTAACTTCATTGTTTTTGTTTTTTTGTTTTTTAGTGAACTGATTTAATATCTATTTCATATTGTATAATAAAAAACTACATTTTGATTTAGAAATAAGATGTTTTAATTTTCCTTTCTTTTAATGAAAAACTAATCCAAGGTCATTGTCCTTTAATTTCTTAATTTATGAAATTGCTATTTTTACACTAAATGTAGATTTAAAAGTAGTCTGCACATAAAATACCATAACAGTATAATTTTCAAATCATAATGAAATACATACATTGGTGGCATATTTAAACTATTACAGAAAACATTTTTTAAGCATTTGTCTTGTTTTTTTAAATCATTGCTGGATTTTTGGCATTTTTGGCACTCCGTATTCACAAAAAGAATTCTCAATTTAAGAATCAAACTAAGATTGATAATTTTCATGTTTTACTATTTATGTATTCTTGGTACATTTTAAAGATAAAATATTATTAATGCATTGCACTTAAAAAAAAAAACTGTATGAATTTTAAAATTGTATTACAAATGTAATCATTCATTGAAAAAAAATTATGTTTTTTAGGATAATGCGGTACTTTGATGATGTAAACATTTGGGACTTTCTTTAGAAGTCACTCCAGGTTGGGACACTGCTTCCTCCCCATCGGTCACACTGAATGCTGCAACTAATTTTAAGTAAAAACAAACATTATGAACTTACCTCTGACACACAGTAACGACATGACAAAGCGAAGAGCAGCAGGTAGTTTCACAGTTTGAAGCTCTCAGCGGAGATTTAATCTCAGTGCGGTAACATTATAAATTCCGTTAAAATGCTCTCAAAGCGGCCATAAAATCCTTTTCGATGCTCGCGGCTTTCTTGCTGTTAGCGGACAGAACGTAAAGAGCAGCTGCTCCCCACTGTGTCCACGCCATTATTAAAACTCTCATCCCAGTTTTCCGCTCGGACGGACAGCCGGAGGGAGCGCTTGGAAGGAGGAGGAGAAGACACCTGTTACTGGCGTCTGAGCTGACCAATCAGAGGAGAGCTCTCCAGCTAAAGGGCGGGGCGTTCGGTGGGAATTCCAACCAATCGCTGAGGCGAAGCGGCGGGGAAGGAGCAGGTGACGCACACCTAACCCTAAAACAAATAAACCACGCGAATATCATCTTTTTTATTTGTTTGCTTATTTTTTTATTTATCTGTGATACATTTCTGCCATCATGTTTAATCGTACGCCTAAACAAAAGGCCCTTTTCTGACAGTAAATCATTTAGACCAGGCGTCTTCAATGTTTTCCCGGTCAAGGATGGGGAGATGGAGCAGGGATCCGCTAGTTAGATATATTGCAGGGATTAAAGAAAACTATTTCGTACGGAAGAGGATTAGGGCCACTGGAAAAAAAATAAAAATAAAAGTTACCTGATTTTTAAATTTTAGTTTAGTTTAGTATGGGGAAAAAAGTCAGAATTCTGACTTTTTTTTCTCAGAATTCTGAATTTTTCTCAGAATTCTGACTTTTTTTATTGTCAGAATTCAGTCAGAATTCTGAGAAAAAAAGTCTGAATTTTGAGATTAAAGTCAGAATTCTGAGAAAAAAGTCAGAATTCTGAGAAAAAAGTCAGAATTCTGACTTTTTTCCCATACTAAACTGAAATGAAATTTAAAAATCAGTTAACTTTTTTTTCCAGTGGCCCTAATCCTCTTCCGTAATTTTGACACAGATAAGCAACTATATATATATATATATATATATATATATATATATATATATATATATATATATATATATATATATATATATATATATATATATATATAGTTGCTTATATATATATATATATATATATATATATATATATATATATATATAGTTGCTTATCTGTGTCAAAATTACACAAAATATACATACATGTACATTTACATACATATACATATTTATATACATACATACATTTAAATATATATATATATATATATACATATATATATATATATATATGTATACTTTAATCCCTGATATTGCATGAAAATCTGTTATATTAAACTCATCCTATAGTCACTCTATGGAGTCATGTAACAGAAGTAATTAAAATTACTGATCTGAATAAATTCAAACTTTCATCTCCTAGGTTTAATTTTGGCTTCCGAGAACACTGGAACAGGCTGCATGTATGTCTCATAAAAGGCACCATCATAGTAACTTTAATTAGGTAGGAAGCTACTTATTTGGAAGTTGTTTTATTTGCTGACTTTCAGGGCCGGAGCTAAATGGGGGGCCAGGGGTGGCCATGGCCACCCTTAGACAATCATTGTCCACCCCTGTGGCCACGCCTACCATTTATTTCCCTATAATACAGACCGTGGCAGCAGAAATACTCTCAAGTGGAATATTCAAAACATTTAAATTTTTCATATATTAACAATTACTTGACAACAAAAACACTGTGGTTATTTATGTACAACAATATATTAACATTAAAGATGATAACTACAGAATTCATGCTCTTTTCAGAACTAGACTTGGTTATATGGAGTAAAGAGAAAAGTATGTGTCTCTGCAAGTCATCTAGGAGTCTTCTGTGAAATCATTAATAAATAACTTATTTCAATAAAAACTTATTAAATAATCAATTTTTGTAGATATTAGCACTTGTAAACATCAATTTTATGCAGAGTGATTATTGATAAAAGTAGGTAAATAATGACAATGGAAAAGATTTTCGCCCCAGAACTCAAACCTGGCAGAATTTGATTCGTTATACAATTTATCTAGAAAGCACGGATGTTGTAATATATGCGTCTATTTGTTACAAAGGCTGTAGGAAATTACAGTTTGTCTTCATTTAGAAAATATGGATGTTGTGCTTGTTAATTTTCCTGTTGGAAGAGTGTAGCTTGACCCTGAGGTTCTGGTGCCGATCCACTTTCGACCACCCCTCAGTCTACATTGGTTACTGCCTGGCCACCCTTATTAACATTTTCTGGCTACGCCTCTGCTGACATTCAGGACATGGACAAGTTTTCTTGGAATAAAGTTTTATAATAATGTAAGGGTCTACAGCCAGATGTACCAATAAAGGCAGACGTGTTTTATTATGAAGTAAAACATGTTTTGTTGCATAATATTTTATATAAAGAATAAAAAATATGAATTCTGAAATGCGCTCTCTTAATAAAAGCGATCCTTTTTTAAATGCGGAACTCTTGTCTTGTTGTGTTTAATAGCGGTTGGCAAACAACTTTTCGGTGCATTACCGCCACTAACTGGTGAGGAGTGTAGATCAGAATGGCCCTATTCATAAAGATACTTATATTTATTTATCTATATCTATAATATTACTTTACAAATACGAAATCCTACTAATTATTTCTGTTATTATTAAATATTTAAATAAATATTAACATTTGTTTTTACTTTTTCTGCAGAATATCTATAAAATTAAATGTAACTTTCTCCTTATTTAGGTCTCTGACCAAATTCTTTTCTTCTTCATACTTCTTACAATAAATCACTAAATGTTCTACTGTTTCGTCTTGTCCACAACATTCATATTTTTCTGACAAATTATTCCGTATTTTGCATAGTCTATTATTTAATCCTGTATGTCCAAATCTAAGTCTTGAAATAACTGTTTTCGCTCTTCTGCTTCCTTCTGCTCTCCTCATCCATTGTTTTTGCCACCTTTCCTTCATCCTTTGTTTAATTATACTTTTAATTTCTGTCTGACTTAAGTTAATTATCATATCAATTGCATTACTTTTTGATGCTTCCTTAGCAATCTTATCTGCAATTTAATTTCCTTTAATCCCTATATGTCCGGCCACCCAAATAAATATAACACTAATACCCATCATTTGAACTTGATACAAAACTTGCTGTATTTAAATTAAAATGTCTGATCTACTTTCGGAAAAATTATTTTGTATACTTGTTAAAGGGGAACGCCGTTTTTTTGACGTCATCCACGCGGCGCTTCGTTTTTAAAAGATATAAATACTAGAAATATAACTGCGGATGTCATGAATGCTGGCGTACCATAAAGAATAAATTCTGAATAGTTTAGTTTGTGCCTTCAAGTCATTGCCCATAGGAAGACGTTACCTGGATATAACCTAATGGAATATCTTCAGAACAGCTACAAATGACATAAAACTCATATGGGTGAGTAGAACATGATGTAATAATGTAAAATCCAGAGCCCAATGTAAAAAAAAACACGGAATTCCCCTTTAAAGCTGAAATCGAATCTGAACATACAAAATGCGGAACCTTTCTCGTTCAGCCCATGTTTCCGGCGCAGGCGGAGCCTTTCGGGGCTGCACCACTGATGTAACGTTCGTTTCCTTCCAGAGCGGGGTCACTCACATGAGCCAGGAATCCGTATTTTGCCCGGTTTACCGAGCTCTAATTAACTGCGCAGTGAAATCTCTAAAGAAACTATAATGTTACGAACTCTGTGTCGGAGAAGCGGAGCCATTTTACAGGTTAGTGACGCTTTTATCTCCTTTTAGCCGCGGCGACCAAACGTCATTCAGCGCGTAGACGTCAGTTAAAATTACATCAAATGTCCCTCTACCTCCAATAGATACAAAAATGTATATATATTTTTTTGTTTGGTTATTTTTAATGTCTTCTTTTACGTTCGGCTTTAAAATCCAATACAACATTTATTATTATTATTTTGATTGATTTACTTTTATTACCAGACCCCTAAGGAGACTTTTAACTAAGTAAACTTGTGGTAGTGATTCTCTTTATTCTTTGACAATTTCGTAATACTTTTTTATAACCAGATAGTTATGAGACGCTAACTTTCTTAAGCTTCATGCAGGAGCTTCCTTTAACAACGAGTTAGACCAGATATTTATATAATAGAATAGAAAATCTCTTGTTTGTTTAAAGCAACATAAAGATTATTGAAAAAAAATTCTCACACAAATGTGAACCTTAGAAAAGTGTATAAGAATAACATAATAGTAAAGAGTAAAAAAAAAAACAAAAAAAAAAAAACAAACAAATAAAACACTGTACTATAAAGTGTTTTAACAATATAAAACTATGCAACTGGTTAATAAATGACCAATATCCAGCTATGGACATTTTTACATTAATGGATATTTGAAGAAAGCAGCAACATCAGAGATGTGCAAAATGACAGCAGCATGTTATTTAACTGACTAAAACAGAAACTGTGCAAAAATCACCATGAATGTAACAACTTATTGGTGTTGTTGGAAACAGTGGTGGTTCTAGAGTTTTGCAGCTGCTGGGAGGAAGGATCTGCGATAACGCTCCCTGGTGCATTTAAGGTGCAGCTGTCTGTCACTGAAGGATTTACATAATCTGTGTAGAAATAATTTATCCTGTTTAGAGTTTGGTTGCAGTAACATAATTCATATTTCCTATTTTTTCTTAAATTCTAAAGTTTACATGTCACCTCATGTACATAGCATACATTGTGTTTTATTAGGTCAACCTTTCAGACGGTACGACTTGGTTTTGGTTTCCCTTCTTTATTCATTTATTTTCTTAACAATGTCCTGTCTGGCCATTTGGCAATAAGAATAATTGTCTTGATGCCAAAAAGAGCCTAAGGGATTCACAAGTGGAGCAGTACGGCTATCGCCATAGTGTTCTGCTTTATTTATGCACATAAATAGTTTTATTATAATTACGCAGGGAGTTTTACAGATTATATGGACACTGCAATGTAGGTAGAACAGGAAAGGAAAAACAGAAAAAAAGGGAGAAAAGATGAAAGAAAGAGGAGATAAAACGGAGATAACGATAAAACATCTTCAGTCTGCTTCATCACCTGCAAAGAGATGGAAAAAAAACAGCTCAACCAACGGATATAGTATAAGAGATACAATAAAGTAACACCTTGATACTGTCGCTGAAGTATAAGTAGTTTTATTTAATCTGGCATGTATACTGTGGTAGCTGAAGATAAGAATATGGGATTTCTGTATGGAAGTGAATCTCTAAGTACCTGGAGCCAAGCA